GGTCACACTTATTTTCTAACTATGTATATGCAGAGGTGGGCAAAAGTAGCTTTATACTTGTGAATACGTGAAACAGTTTATTGTATTATTTTTTTTTCCATATAAACAATTGAAACCTACTTTTGTGAGTCTGTGAAACACAAGAGTTTATTCTTGAATTATTTATTAATTGTATTTTCCACATTCCTCATTTTCATGTATCCATTTGGGAGGTGGTGGTGGCCATTGGTAGTAAAGGGTTGTGGAGAAAGTTATAAATTCTTTTTTAAAAAAAATTAACATTTTTATTAATATCTACTAATATCCTATCTAATAAAAGAGAAACATGGTAATTAGCCATACATCCGCTACCCTTCCCATTGGCTAATCAGGGCGATATGCAAATTAACTGCCATCCAAGATGGCGGCCGGTAGCCAGGCAGCTTAAATTGAACATGAGGCTTGCTTGCTTCAGTGGCCAAGCCCCTTGCACAAATTTTGTGTATCAAGCCTCTAATAAACCATAAAATGACTGCTCACATCAGAAAAGCCAGCAACAGAATTCTTGTTAAGATAGCCTGTACTATATTCTTTGTTTTTTGTTATTGTTTTTTTTGCATTGGTGGGTGCAATTTCTTCTAAAATAATTCTAGCCAAATACTGATCAAGGAAGGCATCACAGCTGGCGAGGCAAAACGTGGAACAAGAGCTGGAAGTGCAGGCAGACTCCCTCCCAGCAGCTACATGGAGGGCGCTGCACATCCCTTCTGCCAGGCTGGGCCAGCGCAGCAGTGGGGCGGAGTGAGTCCAAGAAGGTGAGCTTGGGCAGGGCCTACCTACTCTGTGCTAGGCACTCCTCAGAAGAATTTTTGAGGCAAACCTTAATTCTCATAGTAAATATGTAACGAATTGCTAACTTAATTCTAGAAATGGCCCAATTCAGTCTGTGAAATAAAGCATTTTAATTTTGTCACCTCTGGAAAACTAACATTTAAAAATTTCAGGCCGAAGGTGTATGAAAGAATTCCACTAAGAGAAACAAAAAATCCAAACTCAACTCCAAGGCACTTCCCTGAATATGATCAACTTGGCCTTGGCAAATAGTGCCATGTTAGTCCATGTACAAGAGCAATGTTCCATGAAGCTATTTGTGGAGTCAGTTA